CTGGTATTTTTTATTATATATATCACACACAACTTATTATCACCATTAAAGGGTATTAAACCATTAACAATTTCTATGACTTAATCGAGTTTCGATTATGTCGATGTGTATGTGTTAGTTTGTTGGTCAAGTGTTTTACTTTTCATTTTTAATTAATGATAAAAATTACGATGATAAGAAAATAAATAAAATAAAGTTATGGATTTATATATGAGAACATAAATTATTGAAATAAGGTCAGTGTTTTTTGTAGTTATTTTGTTTAATGTGAAAGGATAAATTTTGAAATTTTCATTATTATTATGGCGATGGGGAGATCAAGGTTTTTAGTTTGCTAGTAAAGGAAGGTACGAAAAAAAAGGTAAATAAAATAAAAATAAAAAAAAAATTAATTAAAAATTTAAATTATTGTTTCTATATAAAATATTTTGTTGTAGTTTTTATATTTTTTCATATTTTTTTTTTTTTGTCAAGGATAATGATATTTTTTTTCAAATTACAATAAAAAATTTTCCTTGATTTTTTTTTACTTTTTTATTTAATATCACCAATCTCTATTTGGTTTCCGTTATTATCCTGAATCTAGGAAATCTCTAAAAATTGTATGTGTTCTTTTAGAATATATAATAATTATTAAAATTGCTTTCATTACACTTTAGATCCTTGTGTAAGTCATAAATCAAAAGTTAATGTTGATACACACCACAAATCATTTTTGTTTATTAGTTTCAATTCTGAATTCGCAAAAAAACTGACTCTTATTCGTGTTAAAAAATATTACAATAATTATGTTATGGTTTTATGTACGAACTGGGATTTTCCCCAATGTTTTTCCCGTTTTTTCATGGCGTCATTTTCAGTTTTTTTCTATAATTTTTTTCTGGGTTTTAACTCCGCCACAACAATGCTTGTCATAAAGCTGTTAATTTTTCATAATTATGTTGGAGAAACAAAAACTTGGGTTTTTTATGCCGCATGCCATTGAAGTTGGGCAAGTGTTGAAAAAACAGGACCCTGAAAATTGCATAATTGCTTGTTTGTTGTTGTCGTCTTTTTTTATGAAAAAAATATACCGACATGCCAAAAAAATGAAAATTGCCATAAAAGGTCATAAATGCTGTTGTTGATGGGGTGTATGAGGCAATTTATAATAATGCTGGCGAAAATTATAGCATACTTTGGGGGGTTGCAATAACTAGTTGAAAAATAAACAAAATATTAAAAGTGTAGACATAAATTGTAAACAATAATTGATAAAAAAAATGTTGAGTGCATAAATATCATTAAATGAGCCGTTTGTTTTAAAAGTGGTTAAGCCCCCAATTTTCTGAATTTTGATCACATTTTTCAACCGAATTGACTGTAACTTGGTATTTTGGGTTCTCATTGAGCGCAATGTCTTCCTACTACAAATTGGTTTACTTTTTATGATTGTCCCCATATAGTGCTACCCCTCGATATTCGTTTTTTTCGACTAAAATGGCTGTAATTTTATAATTGAGATATTTATCCGATGAAAAATTTCCATACAACAAATTTATAATATTGGACCAAGTTTCGTGTTTCGGTGCCTATATAACGGTACACCCTATAATTAGATATTTTGGAAACTTTTTTTAACCAAATTAGCTCTAATTTGATATTTTTGGTTATCATTGGATGTCAAATTGTCCCACCAAAAATTATAAATATTTGTGCTCAATTTCGTATAGCCCCCATATACTGATATTATCCTATATTTTTGGTATTTTGGGCATTTCTATTTTGGGTTCTATTCAAGGATATATTTGGGCTACCCAATTGGATCTATTTTCATTTGTTGGATGGCTATTGGGTATCAAATTGTCGTACCAAAAATTATTAATATATTTCGGTTAAAATAGACATCATTTTGGTATGTCTCCCAATAACCATGAACCACATTTTTGGTATTTTCAAACATCTACCCCAATTTTCCAACTTGAGAGGTTGGTGCAGTACCCATAAAAATAAAAACAGGAAAATAAATAATAGTTCCGATACGTTTTAGGTATTTTGAATGGGTATAAAAACTAAAAACGACTTTTCGCCTATTTTTAATTCCCTTACGATATGTTTCTTTTAATCTTAATTCTAGTATTTGTCTCACAATCTGTGCTAGAAACTTTTTCACCAATTCAGCCACGAACATGATGTCCCTTATTTTCTTTTCAACATTTCATATTTTTTTGTGAACTCCCTTTTTGTGATTTTTTTTAATTCTCCATCATTCTGACAACTTAAGTGGATAATATTTAATGTGACGTGAAGTACTTAATTTAAATGGGCCCTTATTACTGGACTTATTTTTTATAATTAATCCGCTACCAAAAATGTATATATACAAGAGGACAAAAAGACAAAATGGAAGGAGTTATAATTTATGGCAGGCTTATTTCAGTGTATGTGTGTGTAATTTTTCAGTAACAAAGAACAATTTGCCAAAAATAAAAAAAGAATAACTTCCCCCACCTTATTGATAAATAAATCACTAATTAATACAAGTACCGCCGACGACATGGTCTGGTCCGAACTGGCCACTAACAGACATTATTAGTTCATCTTCTGCAAAAAAAGCCCCCGATAAGAATTCTGACGCTACAACAGAGCCGCCGCCGCACACATATTCGAAATGACTCCAGTTTTAAGTGTTAAACAAATACGACAATAAACCGATATTATTTTCTGTTTTCTTCTTCTTCTTGTAAGCAATGATCGGTTGGATGGTCGATTTTAGAACACAACCACATTTCTTAAATGTGTCGTCTACAAATATTGACATAAGTAATGTCTACCGCTTGTGATGGCGTGGTAAATAACCCAAACCATCAGCATACCGCGCAACACCCCATGCACCATACACGACCAGTTCATACCTCTCCAGCCATTGATTGCCATAATAATGTATATTTGTACAACAACAAATAATCTTTGTCGTAAGCCCAATAACTGGAGAAGCTAATAAACACTGCAAATATAGAGACGAGAGATGGATGGTTGGGTCTTGGGTCTGCCGTTTGGCAAAGGTGATGCGGCGGCCGGCGACTGCCGGATGGCACGGTACGGTAAATGTACCAAATTGTTAAACAAACGTAAAACAATTTGCTTTCTTTTTGTGTTATCAGAAGCAGCAGCAACAACAACAGCAAAAAATGTATAAGACACTGAAATAACGTTATATGGCCGGACAATGAATGACAGACACATCGCGCCATCCAACGTGTGGGCGATCAATCGTGCGTGCAATGCAGTTAGTGCGACAAAAATATTTTGTTTGCTGTTTATTTGTCTGACTGTCTGTCTACATGCCGGGGAGATTCTTTGCTTATTTTTTTTTGGGTGAGAAATCTTAGGGGCGACAAATTTTTTGTTTGTTGTAAAGTTTTTTTTTCGATTGTCGTGGCTTTACTTATGTGTGAAAATATTTAGATGGTACTTAAGACGTAGTTAAGTAAGAAAGGAAAAAAAATAAGCGATAAGTACACGTTTGATTGGGGGGATAGGCAATAAATAATGACGATGATGATATCATTAATGGCTTAAATAAGCAGAAGATGTGAATTGTAATTTGCTGAAAAATATAAAATACACACATACATACACAAGTTAGATAAAAAGAAAAAAATTAAATAATAATAAAATAATAATATGATGTTTGTGAAAAATGTTTGAAAACCATTTTTTGTAAGAAAGTATATTGCTGGCTTAACGTGAAATTTATATATTTTTTCAATCATCCATTTTTTCACAACAATCCACAGCTTAAAGGATATTATTTGCTATTAATAGCTATTGCTATATCCTTTACATATACGATTATATCCTGTCCGACAAACTTTTGCATAGGCAAATCCGGCCGTAACAAGGATAATAAAGTTAGGAAAAAACTTAAGGTTAAAATAGTCATTAAAATAAATATCAACACCTTCATATTTGGTCGGAACAAAAAAGTGAAAAAAATAAAACACAAAATACAAGGAATCACAGAGAATATTTCGAAGAATATTTCCCCTGAACTTAAGGTGAACTGCAGGCAGCATATCCTTAGGCCATCGTCTGCCATCATCATTCTACAATGTTTACAAATGTATTTGTTTATATTTGCTAAACTACCAGAGTATCTTATGCCCCCTCCCCACCCAAATGCAGATGTCTACATATTTCTAACGTCTCGTGTTCTCTTCAGAACTGCTGTTGCTCCTCCTCAACCTATTATTTCTATTCCTCTTACTTCAGTAGTTTCACGGCATTTATGCCCTTAAGGAGCTATTTAGTTTAGTGATGTAGAAAATAATGTAACGTGCATGGAGGGCTTGAGTGAATATGCACAAACACACACACTCACATACATCCATACAAATAGTAGTAAACCCCTGATGATGGTGTTTGCCATGATATTGTGTGTGTGTGTGTGTTTAGTTTTTTGTTCTTTCTTATAAAGGATAATCTAAAGGAAAACAATTCTCATATATCAAACAAGGATAAGCGCAATGCAGTAAAAACAACAAACCACCTCCTACTAAAATGATAGTTAAGGACATCTAGTCTAAGCTACTGAGTTTTAATGTGGTTGGGGAAATAAAAACATTTTTTATAAGAAAGTCATAAAAGTTTTGGAGGAGGGAATTTTTTTCCTTTGTAAGAACTTAAAGGTGTTAAAAAGAGAATTTGATTTAAGGAAATTATAATCACAGTGTTTAAAAGGATTTAAGGTTTCTTTTTTTTAATATGTCCTTTTTTTTGTGAATTTTCTAAAAAAATCGAATGGAATAATAGAAAATAAAAAAACAATAGTTTGACTATTAATTTTTGATTTAATTTTTGACTAATTATTTTCATTCTATTTTCTTTTTCTTTACAGCATCTGAAAAAAACAAAACCTACTCAACCTTCAAAATCCCCTCTCTTCTCACCCACAAAAGATTTTGGACTTTTGCTTGCTGCAAAAAGCGACTTAAGGTCCCACATAAATCCTGAGGAAAAACGTTTACATTAAAACTGTGACCTAATGACTATGGCAGAAGGTACTGACCCTATGGGGCATCATGCAGCATCCCATCACAACCACCACCACCATCATCATCAGCAGCATCATCGCCAGCAGGAGCAACAACAGCACCACCACCACCACTATCAACAACATCAAACAGCCTCGCCTCAGTATGAAAGCTATACTCACTTGCCGTATGGATTGCCACACAATCTGCCATTGGCCTTAAGTTTACATCAGCAGGCAGCAGCAGCTGCAGCTGTGGCAGCCGCTGCTGTTACCACCAATAACAATAATACCCGCGAAGAAGATAATACCAACAATAATAACAACAACAGTAGCACAAATAATTCTTCAAATTCTCTAAGTAATCCCACAATGCCTTGGAAGCAAAGGAAACGTAAACGTTTATCGGCAGTCTTGGACAAATTACATCATCACAATAGTTCTAGTAGCAGTAACAACAACAACAACAGCGGCAGCAGTACCAATAACATGGATATTGAAAATGAATATCAGGATGATCTGGTCATTGATAAACACGATCTCAAGAAAGAGGCTAACAACAACAACAATGATGACGATGATGGCAACGATGTTAAAATGTCATCATCACCACGTGACCGCACCAGTTTAAGTGACTCGGAGGAACTGAGGAATGTGGAGGATGGCGATGTGGCTGAGTCGGGCGAAGAAATGTCCATTAGTGGTGACAATGAAGGTAGCCCCAGGATTAGCCTGAGTCCAGTGGACCACAAAAACAATAATAACAACAACAGCTCCATGGATACAACCCTACCTGCGGCAAAGTTCATCAAAACGGAAACGGAACCTCAAAATCCTCTCACCGTTGACATTAAGACTGAGCCACATCTACCCAATAGCCCCTATGATCGTTACTTCCCCATACCCTCACCATTGTTTGGTTACTATTTGCACACCAAATATCTAAATGAAGTATTTCGAAGGAGACAGGATCTCCATACCTCGCCCATGCAGCACACACCCTCGTCAATAGCCTCCTCGCAAATGGATGAAACCTCACCCTCGTCCAAGGCAGAGCTGAAGGAATACCATCAAAAAATGGAAAGATCTCATGAAATGCCCGAGTTTATGCCCACATCGAATTTGTCGCCACCGCACAGTGTCACAATGGCGCTGCCATCACCACCACGTAGTGAAACGTCGATAAGTGAGACAACAGCGGCCAATACATCTGATCCCGCCATAATGCCACCACCACAAGAGCGGCCCTTGGACTTGTCGGTACGCAGTGGCGGCAATACACCAACGGGAGAGTTGTTGGCCAGTGGGCCTGGCGGTGGCAACAACAGCAACAACAATGCCAAGAAGTACAAATCACCTTCTCCGCTGCCGGCAACCACAATGATGTTGCCACCCAGCCAACAACCGATCTCAGCAGCCATGTCACCATCCGGTTCGGGCCACAATAATAGCAGTAACAGCAGCAGTGGGTGTAACACAAGTGCTACCAACACCATGACTACAAGTGGCGCCTCTTCGGCCCCCGTCTCGCCGTATGGATTGTCTCATGCTGCCGCCGCCCATGCTGCAGCCGCAGCAGCTGCCGCAGCCATGATTAAATTGGAAATGCCAATGCATCCTTTGCATCATCACGCCCACAACTCCACAGTGGGTGTACCGGTCATCAAGGGAGATGTGGCTTCACCCACGACCAAAGAATCTGTTGCTTGGCGTTATAATTTGGATGTTTCGCCTGTGGTCGAAGAAATGCCACCCGGTTCCGATGTGGCCTATGTGTGCCCCGTATGTGGTCAAATGTTTTCGCTGCATGATCGCTTGGCCAAACACATGGCCTCACGGCACAAGTCCCGCAACCCCTCGAATGATATTGCCAAAGCTTATTCGTGTGAAGTTTGTAATCGTTCCTTTGCCCGCTCTGATATGTTGACCCGTCACATGCGTTTGCATACGGGCGTAAAACCCTACACCTGTAAGGTATGTGGCCAGGTGTTTTCGCGTTCCGATCACTTGTCCACCCATCAGCGCACCCACACCGGTGAAAAGCCCTACAAATGCCCACAATGTCCATATGCTGCCTGTCGACGAGATATGATTACCCGCCACATGCGTACCCATACCCGCTACGAATCACAACAACAACGTCAGGGTGGTGGCCCAAGTGGTCATCATCCGATGGGCGGTGAAAATAAGCCCACCATACCGCTGTTGGCCGATATGAAAATGAATTTGCCGATGATGTTGAAATCGGAAGACTATACCCGGACATCGCCGCTTAACAATAGCATTGGTGCTACTTTGCCCATCGTGGTGAAGACGGAGAGTGCCTAGTTAAGCGCCGCTGCCCATGCTCATGGTCTGTGGTATGTTAATCCGCAAAGCTTTCGTTATAGAGAAAGCTTTTATGCATGCAAATGATATTAGTTGAAAACTACGACGCCGATGATGACAACAAAGAAGCCGAAGAACACGAAGAGATAAGAGATTTTTATATTTAATTCTAAAACAAATGTACATTTTTGTAATACTTTGAAATTAGCAGCCTCCAAACTTGCCAAGTTTAAACAATTATTATTTTTTGTTTGTTTGTAAGCACTAAGGCCAGATAAGCTCACTTTAGTGATCATAATTATTTTTATTACTTGAAAGACATATTTAATCGATAATCTCTCTGCCAAGACTGAGTCTAAGTTTAAAGGAAATTTCCCCCTCCCGCCCTCAAACTATTTAGAACTAAAACTAACCATAAACCATAGAAAGCTTACAAAATTGTTAACTAATTAAGCACAAAAAAAAAAATGACGAAGAAACAAAAAGAGAAGACAGAAAGAAAAAAGATTTTTGAAGTGAAAGGATCAGGGTGGAAGGTTCTAACGAATTATATATTCCAAGTTCCCAGGGTGTAACCTGACACTGCCATTGGTCCCCGAACTTTATGATTTCTTGATCAAATCTAAGCTAACTTGTAGAGCTTAAAGTTAAACGTTAACTGTTTTGTTTTGTAGCTTGTCAACGGATTTTTGACTTTGGCAAAGCTTTTGTTTTGTTTACACTCAAAAACAAAATGTTAGTTGAAATTGAAACCACATTGTTAACGTTTTTCGTTTAAACACTGTTTTATTTTTATTAAAACTAAACAAAATTAAAAAATTATATAGTATTAATTTTCAAAACAAACACCTACTAAAGCATTTGTTAGTTTGTAATTTATTTTTTTAAAAATATTATTATTTAAGCTAATTTTTTTTAATTTAATTTTAGATTTAATACAAATGAAGACAAACTATTGTTTATTTTTACTTAGAGTAGCTTCTTGCAAAACAAACAACCAACCCACAATCAATTTATTTTCTAAGACAACAATTTAGTTTAATTATTTCGTAACAACAAAACACTATTTATTTATTATACAATTAATTCTTTTGTAATATTTATTTTTAAGTTTAGCTTTTAGTCGAAATGCCAACAAACCAAGAATTCTCCCTAGGGCTCAAAATGTATACCTTTTTTTGCCAATAACTTTAATTCCTTTTCTCTAATTTTGGGAACATAAACTTGTTTTTTTTCACCATTAGCTGAACAATTTTCGAATAATTCCATGACTCCTTTGTTGTTTTTTATTTTTATTTTTTTATTATTACTTTGTTTTTTTTTTAATTTTTGATTTCATTAAATGAATTAAATTTTTTTGGTTTAGTTGATTCGAAGAAGAAAAAAATTTTAGAAACATTTTTAGTTTTGAAAACATTTCCCTTTTTATTCCTTCATCCCATCATTCCATGAACTTGAATTTTTTCTTAAATTTTAAACAAAAAATTGTTAGCCTTTCCATCTATCTTTATGTAGTTTTAGTATATCATTGGCCAAGAATTGTTACTGTTTTATGTTTATAAATATTTTTTGACAAGGATTACAATTGGCAGGAAAACCAATTGAAATCCTTTTTGTATCAACTTTATCCTGTTATTACTCAAATCCATTTCGCTGTAATTTGCCAAACTCTTGCGTTTAATTTTTTTAAGAAAACACAATACAATGTTAAGTTTTATTAATCATTCTTGCTCTCTATTCTTTATCCTGTTTTTTTTCTTTAAGAATATCCTGTTTCATTTAGCACTGTAAGCTGTTATTTATTAACAAACTTTTGTATCAATCCCGCATTGAAAATTGTTTTAGTTTTTTTATTATTATTCTATTTCACATATTTCATGTTAGTTATAATTATTTATATTAATTGGTTATGATTAGTTTGTAATCCTCTTTTTTATATAATTTTTTTAATAAAATAATTTCAAAGAAAAAATAAAGAAATAAAGAACTCAACAATGAATTGCAAAGAAAAAAATTTGCATTTGAAAAAAGTAAATATTTTGTGTTGTTTTTATTTGTTAATTTCAGTTTTTTTTTTTGTTTTTATACCCTTCACCACACTGTGGTACAGGGTATTATGTTTTTGTACATATGTTTGTAACAGGCAAAAGGAATCGAGATAGACCCATGGTTCCTTTTGGGAATATGCATAGAATCACTTTCTGAGTCGATTTAAAAATCGTTTCAGATTTAGATATGGCTCCCATATATATTTAGATATAGCTATGGTGCACCAAAGTCCCTGAAAATCATTTGATTTGCACGAATTTTGCACAGCGTACTGCATTAAGTCTAAAATGACGTGTGCTAAGTTTCGTTAAAATCAGTTTAGATTTAGATATAGCTCCCATATATAGTTTCGCCCGATTTTACGTAAATGATGCACTAAAGTCCTTGCAAATCTTTTGATTTGCACGAATTTTGGCATTGCGTACTAAATTAAGTCTAGAATAATGTGTGCAAAGTTTGGTGAAAATCGGTTCAGAATTAGATATAGCTCCCTTATATATTTTCCTCCGATCTTATGTAAATGGTGCAGTAAAGACCTTATATATCTTTCGATTTCCACGAAATTTGGCATAGCGTAATGAATTATGCCTAGAATGGTGTGTGTAAAATTTCTTGAACATCGGTTCAGACTTAGATATAGCTCCTATATATAAATATATATACCCCCGATTTAATGTAAATGGTGTACCAAAGTCCCTATATATCTTTCGGTTTGGACGAAATTTGGCATTGTGTACTGAATTAAATCTAGAATGATGTGTGTAAAGTTTTTGGAAAATCGGTTCAGATTTAGATATAGCTCCCATATATTTTCGCTGGATTTTTTTTTTTAATTTTCACGAAATTTGACATAGCGTGCTGAATTGGGTCTAGAATGATGTGTGTAAAGTTTCCTGAAAATTGTCCGATTTTAGGACCCAAAGTTTGGCCGATTGCCACACAATTTTGCCTAACGTACAATTTTGCATAAGGTATTTAGATATAGCTCTCATATAGTTCCGTCCAATTTTTTTGTAATACCCAAAATATGTCCATTAGGAAGAAAACGTGCTGAAATGAATCCAACCTAATATGTGACAAATTTCGTTGAAATCGGTTCATATTTGGATATAGCTTCCACATCTATTTTCATCCGATTTTAAGTAAATGGTGCACCAAATATTCAACGGCTCCGCGATTGATATTTGCTTTAAGGGGACCCCCCATTCTCGGGGTCAAAATTTTTTTTGATTTAATTCGAATCTACACTAATTCAAGAATGTCCCTACAAAATTTCAAGTGAAAATCGCAAGAACTCTTGAATATATAGCCGATTTATTGTGTCAGCATCAAGTGACGGCTGAAGGGCTTCTCAAACTTTAAACGCGTTTTTCTCTAAACATTTTTTTTGCGAATGGCGGGCACGATAACTCAAAAACTAATAACCCAATCGATTCCAAATTTTTACACGTTTCTCTGTGAGTGTACTGCTATCGTATGAACTAGGATAAAGCCAATCGGTGAAGATCTTTCTTATTTTTTAAATTGGTTTTTGGTAAAAAATCGGCGATTTTCCAAAAATATTTTTTCAAAGGTCCGCCATTTATTTAATTTTAGAGCGAAATCAATAATCCTAGTTCATACGAGAGCCATACATGTACTCTTTCTAACACCGGTGGAATTTTCGGATTCCGATGTTCCAATGAGGAGTTATCATGCCCGCCATCAAAAATAAGGACTTTTCTTTGATGACAAAAACAACAACAAACATTTTTTGTAAATTATTTTTCTTCTCTTTTAAATCTTCAAATATATATGTGACATGTCTATGGATTGATCTAAGTCGGTTCACATTTAGATAAGGGTCACATAATTTAGTTCATCGAATTTCATGTTAATAGCCCTTCTGTTAGGATGCATCTTTTAAATATACCCATAGTGGTGAAGGGTATCATATAGTCGGCCCCGTCCGACTTTTCTTCTTTCCTTACTGGTTGTTTATGATTTTAACCCGACACTTCTATACATTTCAGAACTATTGTCACTAAATCTGTTTTTTTTCGAACCCCAATCTTCTTGGACCTTCTTACCAAAGAAAATTATGAACATTAAAAAAAAGTAAAAATAGAACCAAATAGGAGGGGTCGACTATATGATACTATATGATACATCGATTTCGTTATGATAAGAGGAGCTTCTATTGGACAGGTGTCTTTGGTCATATCTATATTTTCATTCGGTAATCCATCTTCTTCTTTCGGGATGATTTGGTACGATGTTCAAAATTTCGTGTCAATCGTGACAGATGTAGGGTCTTTGTAGACCCAATTTAATAATATTAAATACTGGCATATGCCAGGTACTTTGTTAGCAAATGTGAGAATTCACAAATAACTACATATGTCAGAAATCATAAACAAATTGATGGAGAATATGCCAAACCATTGTGGACAATATATTAAAAATCGCTTAAACATTTTATTTTTTTTATTTTACGTACAAAAGTGTTTGAATTGAGTTATTTTCCATTTCAATTATACCTTTCACCAGCACACGGACGTAAACAGGGGCCTGGCCACTTAGGTTTCGTGAATTGCATATTCAGATTTAGCAAATGGTGTTCTTTTAAAGTCGGCATTTGGAGATAAGGATCTCAAGATTATTATTGCTAAGGAACATAGCAAAGAAGACATATGTCGACTATGTTTTCCAATGATATTTTGCAAACCATAGGCCTAAGGAGTAGAAAATTCAAGCTATGTAAAATTAAAAAAAAAAATAAATAAATCCATTCTTACAACATAGAACTCAAAATATCCAACTAAAGCCAATTCGATTGGAAAATGTGCCTAAAGCTCCTGAAAATACCAAAAATTTTGACAGTTATATTGTTTTCCCTGCTAAGATTTTATATATTACATCCAGTTAAAATAGATCCTCAAAAAAAGAGGACGTATGGTCACCTTAGGAAAGGACAACCACCAAGTCCAACATATTATGAACAAACAAACTTCCTATATATTGAAAGAACAAAAATTGATACCATTTTATTTGGTGGGAAGGAAGACATCG